GAGTGAGGACAAACGATCCTAACTTGGTTGTTGAAACAACTTGTGACGAAGAAGGGGGATTAACCAAGATTTTTTGGTGCGACGGATTTTTCCAGGCATCATATATGCAATTTGGCGATGTTCTAATTTTTGACAGCACATACAAAACAAACACCTACAAATTCCCACTGGTGATATTTTCTGGGATAGATAACCACCTAAATACCACAATATTTGGTGGGGCATTACTTCATAATGAGACCTCCGAATCATACGTCTGGTTGTTAACGACGTTTATGCGGCAATGAAAGAAAAGATGCCTAAAACAGTGGTGACTGATCAAGATGAGGCGATGCGAGCTGCGATAAAAAAGACCTTACCTGAAGCTACTAAACACAGGCTATGTTCATGGCATCTCCAGAGAAATTGTGTCCAAAGAGTGAAGGTCCATGACTTTTGCAGAGTCTTCGGGAATTTCGTCACAAAAACTTTGACAACTGCGGAATTTGAAACAGAATGGGGAATGGAAACGGTGAAACATGGTGTGTCGGATAATCAGTGGGTGAAAGACACTTTTAAAAGAAGACATCAATGGTGCGATGCCTATCTTCGAGGAAACTTCATGGGGATGACACGGACAACACAACGAGCAGAATCGTTAAATGCGCTATTCAAAAATAGAGGCACATTAGGAAGGACGATTACAGAGCTTCTAAAAAGTTTCCATCGTATCGTTTCATCTTTGCGTGAGAAATTTTTTCAAAAACAGGAAGATTCGGAGATGAACCCAACTGACATTCCCTTTGGAGCACCATTACACTGTATTCAGGTACAGATATCCGCAATCTATACACACTCAGTTTTTGCAAAAGTTCGTAAGGAGATAGAGAATGAGCAGACTAATCTTGTACTCGCGAATGAGATGGAAGGAGTCTCACATGTCTTTACGATGGAAAAATATGCTTCACCAGACCGAAGAAAGTTGACGGTCCGTATAAATTTTAGTGAAGGGAAATTTGAGTGTGCATGTAAAATGTTGGAAACTGATGGCTTGTCATGCAGTCATCTTATTACTGCTTTTAAGTACTTGCAGCTTCGAAAAGTGCCAAAAGAATGCATATGTGACAGGTGGACGAATATGGCGGGTAAAGAACTTAGAGAAAAATTCCACTACATACCTGCATCTACTGATCCTAAACAAAAAAGGTATTTCGAACTGTTGTATAAGGGATCAATTGACATGTGTATGAAGGCGTCACATACTGATTCAGATACTTCAAGGTGTTTGAAGAAAGTTCAACGTGCTAAAGATAACATTAACACTAAAGAATTAAAGGATGATGTAATATCAACTGATCCTTTTGATAAAGGATCACAAGTTGTGAAGGATTCGGTACGGGGTTCTAAGCAGTGTAAAAACTCAGCCGACCCACCTAAGGCTAGGTCTAGAGGGGCACCACCAGCAAAAAAACAAAAGTGCAAATCATGCGGGTACGTATTGTACAACTTACAACTTACAATTGAAATTGATTATTTTACGAGCATTTTACTTTATATGTTTCTTATGATATGCCACTTGAGTTTTAATTTGCAGTGAACTCGGGCATAAAACGACTACCTGTCAAGCAAATAAACTGAGCAGTCAACCGTCACAGTCTCAAGTTGGAAACGACGAGGACTTTTGCTTTCCATTAGGCACATAGTAAAAATGAGATAAAAACCGTCACTGTGATGTTATTTTTTAATGTATTGTTTGAGTTTGGCCGTTGATGGGGGTATTATATAGTAAAGTTGATGTTATTTTTTTGTTCTATGTGCATATAATATATAATCTTAGTCTAGAAAATGATGGGGTATTATATAGTTGTTGTTTTTAAATGTATTGTTCATTGTACGTGTAAATAAACATAAACCTAGTTGTTGTTAGATGCTTGGAGTTTGATTTGTGAAAGACCATGTATTTCATTTCTATTAGGGACAACTCATGTGAATAGTTCGGCGAACTCTGGCAGTAACCACTTAGGTTCAGTTTGATTCCTGATTAAATGGATGGACCTTTTGTCATTCACTTTTCCCAACTGGCTAATTCCGCTCAGTATTTGTCTCTTGAACACACAACAAGAATAGAATGATAGTTATGCTAATTAGCATAACATTGTATTAAGATGGTTACCTCTCGCCCTTTGTTTAGGATTTAGGTTCAATATTGATATCTGAGAATCCCCACCATCCGCGCTATAAACCGAGAAAACTTTGTTTCCATGAGGATGCCAAGCAATATCTTCTGGCCATCTCCTCTGCTTGTCAGATTGACAATCAGTACTACTTAGAAGATCGGCACAGGAACTGCACTTTATGTAATGAGAAAAGACGTTCAAAGTGAAAAACTTATATTACTAGGTGAATGAAATGAGTAGACCGTAGATGTGCTTAAAAAATATTTAATAAATCTAATTTAAATACTGAATGGAAAGTATAATGATGGATCATGCAAGTGAGTTTCTAACACAAGTTAGTTACCCTCGTCCCTGAAGTTGCCATAGGTTGACCATTCCATCCAACGCACTGCAAGAATAGTTATAAATGTGAAAAAATAATTTCTAACATTAAGTTGACGTGAAGTAAAGTATATGTTGTACGCAATCAATCAAGATTTCACAAAGCAAGACATATTCTAAATAATTCATCCAATGTGCACCTAAGAGGTGCTTGTTTGATGTTTCTAAGCCATAAAAAATGAAGTACACGATCCATAAGTTCCATGTTAACCTATAACCAATTTTAATTACTATGATGTGCACCTAATTCAGTCAAAAGAGCGAGCACAATAGTATTAGAACTTTCGGAGGCAAGTACATTCAAAAGGCAGACATTAGATAAACAAATTGAATATATTATTTCTTCACCTGAACAGTACTTTTTTCATTTCTTTAATTCAATAGTACATGATGCAGTGATTTCAGCACAGATCTCTGAAAAACTAAAACCAAAACAACACTTAAATCCAGTTGAACTGCCCAACAGGACGACCCACGTTATTTAATAAATCAAAATGAACTTACTTCACAAAAATAATTTAACTCACAGTACTTGTTCTAAACTTGTGCTATTGAATAGCTATATAACCCTTACTAATGTGAACACGCCATTAGTTGAGGAGTAAGAAGATAGCGGTACAATACTTTGAGTCAATTTCCAAACGAGTCACTAATAAGATAAGATCTTGATATATTCATATCATATATATAATCATATGCTGTAGTCACAATGGCTAGCTGGTTACTTGCAATAGTAAGATAAGTCAAACATTACCTTGAAATTGTACAAGCAACTTCATATTCTAGACCTCTAATTAGTTCTGACAAAAAAAAAAAAAGAACAATTTACCTGGTCACGAATAACTGATCATTTGTTGGACATAAAGCAAGACTCCGAAGCTTTCTTTTGTGTTGACTGGATAACAGAGGGCCACCATGACAGCGAATTGTGACTGGTGAAGAATTTTTTGCAACCAATGGAATCAAATCTACATGTTCTTTCTGCTCTGTCATCTACACCAGTTACTAGTACCAATTTGATACCAATAGTATTAAATCCCAGAATCAGAAAATCTTATATATAATAAAGTATCATGCAAATAGACAAACCAATTTTCCTTTTTGTCCCTTTAGGCTGAATTTCCACATCTTCCTGCTCCGCTGATGTTTTATGAGTATTTTCACCCTTCAACTTTGTGAGACTATTTGCAATAGTAAGTGCTGATGAAGTCGATGGTGGACCAGAACCAGACACACCACACGGTTTATTTCCAGGTTCCTTTGCCTTAACTGTGGGAATCACTAGTGGTGGCTTAGGCTGGATTTTGTTTTTGGAATAATTTCCACGGTCCGGATTATCTACAGAGGGCTTCTTCATAGCATCCTGAAGATGAGGCGGTGACTGTTTCTGGGAAGGGCTTTGGGCTTTTCTTTCAAATTTAGCCTCGTCCCTACCATTAGATGAATTTTTAGATGATTTTTCTTCACTCCATCCTCGAAGACGGACTAATTTAGTTTGGGTATCCTCTAATCTCTTCTCTGCTTCATCAAGCTGCAGGTCTCCCAAAAAAGGCTCATTATAATGGGGTAAAAGTTTGCAGTGCATGTCTATATATACATATATATATATACATATATATATATATAATTAGATGGAACTTTTTCTCTTGCATTATGTCAACTGAACATAAACACATAGTGGCGAATGGAGAGGCGAGGCACAAGACACAAAACCATACAACACATGATAATATAGATAATGCAATTAAATACTCAAACAAACATACATTTAAGCTTAAATAGTTTTATAGCTGTTCATAACATACATGAGATTAGACACTAGAAGATTAAGCATCATACTGATTAGTATCATATTGCTTGTAGAGAGAAAGGAATGTTATTTAAAGTAGGAATAGAGCTGCAAAGTGGCCATATAAACATTCAAGTGCTACTAAATACTTACATCAATGAGAACTTAGTACAACATTACAAATTACAATGTGTAATAATGATACAATTGCAGATTCCATAAAATCAGCAGCAAAAGAAGGTTCTTTCCCACAACCATACAACTATGCTAAACAAATGAATGCATACATCAATTAGAACGTAGTATCACAAATTCCACCGTCTGCTACTGAAGCTGCAGATTTTATCAAATCAGGAACCAAAGAACAGAAGAAGGTTCTTTTCCATAATTGGATAGTTGTTGTACATGTGCAATTATATACTTACTTGGTTTTAATGCATGCTTTAACCATACAACAAGCCCTAATTTTACCTTAAACTCTTACCTGCATTAAATGCACAACATCCGATGCCCGGGAGAAGTCAAACCTAAATGAGTATTCTATTGCATACATCTGCACGGGCGGGCGCGCGCCCGATCCTACCAAATTTCTATCCAAGCTATGTCCAAAAATGTAGAAAATATACATGAAAAAAAAGGGAATTTTATATGATCTACAAATTTCCTCCATCCTACCGTCTTTGTACAACCAGTTTACACACACACACACACATGTGATTTTCTATAGAAAGTTCCCTCTGCATCAACACATGCCCATCTAAACAGCATTTTTGAAAAAATATAAAAACAACTTGTTTTGTGTGTCTGGGTATTACTTTAGATATCCTCGGCCTCCCTACTTTATCGTCCTGATTACGCGGTTGCCCACATCTGTAGCCCACACCAAGATGAAAGCATAAAGACACGAACTTTAGGACCAACTGAATAGCAGCAGACTTCATCAAACAACATTCTCAGTCAAACAAGAAACTCATAAATGGACGAGTTCCATAAAGCAGACACCGAACAAAACTGAACAACCCAAAAAATGCAAGCATACACAACAGAGAACAACCCATTGAACACATCTTTCACAAATTAACAAAAGGGACAAAATTAAAGAAATCAACAACAAGTTCCAACCAAAAAAAAAAAAAACAATAGAAACCTGGGATTTATAATAACTAATACGCTGGCGTAGGTGCTCGACTTCTTTTGTCCGATGCTCTATTAAGGCCACGAGTGCTTCTTCCTGCTCATTCCTAATCTGCTCCCCCAGTTTTTCTTCATTAGATTCCTCTTCAGGAAAGCCATCATCGTCTTGTTCTTCTTCCTCGGGTTCGATTTTGGGCTTCTTCAAAAGTGGACGATAACCGCTCATATTATTTGATTCGAATGTGATTGACGGCTATTCTTCCTTCTCTGCTCCGATGATGATTCCAGATTCTCCTATCATGGGAACAAAAAATTTTGTGTCGACAAGAAATGATTTCCGTTTCCAAGTATGTGCATCAGTTACAACTTACAAGTAGGGTTTAGAAAATGCTTAGACGACCTCCTTATGAATCATTCTGTCATTATGTCAGATTTCTAACCCTTACATCAATTACTATTGACAGAATGATTCCGTAACGTACCTTAGCATTTCCCGTATTTAATATTGATCATTCATGATTATTGATAAATCTAATAATTTCTCTATTTTAATTTTTTATTCTTTTTTTTTTGGTCAAACAATAGAAATACTCATAACACAAATTAAAAATTCGAATACAAACAACTACTCAAACACCTTGACCACTGAGAGGACTACAAACAACCTTGTAGCCTATACAACAAACATAAACTAGCACACATGTTGTAGTTATTTTTACCGGAGTTAAATCTAAAGATTCAATCCTCGAGTTGTATCTCAATGAAGGTTAGTCAGATTAAATTTTACGATTATTCAATCACCAAAAAAGAAAATAAATCCTAAACACTCTAATTCAAATGTTTTTTTGTTTCGATTAACTACTACGATTCTCAAACAACGTAAATAAACAATTATCAATTCTTAAAACAAATTTCTTAATAGTATGAGAAGGCAAGGGAATCGGGGATGATTGTTCTCAAATCAAATGCAAATACCAAGCAAAGATCGTTCGGCTAAATGGTTCGATCAACCTACATATCTAGAGATTAATCATGACTAACTTTTCGTAACAAGAGGGTAAACATAGACGGCAAATCAAACAAATCAAACAACACATAGGCAATACAATTACGAACAAGCCTACTTTAATCGAACCTAGATCAACTGACTTCTCTCCTTTTGGTTCTACAAGTCGATTAAATTGATCATATGGTGATCAAGCATCTAACCGTAGGTTTAATTCAACTCAAATAGATTTAACGAAAATCAAAAGCAAGATAATCACACGAGTATGAGTAATCATCCCATATCCCTAGCTAATGGATTTAGCTACTCATGTCAAGATGAACAGAAAACATTATATCAATCAAATACTCCAAGCTCATAATCAAAACGAGATAAAAGCTTACGATTAATACAAGTCAAGTGTTGAATCTCAAGCACAATTCAAATCCACAATGAAATACTTCGGGTGTCACTCCAAAATATCTCAATCTAAGCCAAAGATAGAAGAAACAAGTTTTAATATCTGATACAAACTAAGAACGCAGTATCAGAAGGAAAAATAAACCCTCTCCCCCCGATCCTCCTTAATAGCCCTATCCAAATAAATGTATAAAAAACATATCTATAATTTAAAGATCTCGGGCGCCGCGACGCGACACGTCAACATGGCAAGGCGTGAGGAGAGTCGCGGGCTTTGACGCGGCGTGAAGACACTGAAGTGCCGCAGCGCGAGACTCGCCACGGCATGGCACCAGGAGATACAGAATGCTTTGTCCGCCCGTTAGACGTGCCGCGAGGTGGCTCACGGTGTGAGAGAGCTGAGGTGCCGCGGCGCGAGACCCGACACGGCGTGGCATTTGAGAGTACATTCTGTAGGCCCGTTAAGGGTGCCGCGCGCGTTGTCTCGGCGTGGCAACTGGAAAAGACTCGTGTTGCAGACATCATCGATAGGGACATGCACTTTGTAAGGGACTAGATGAACTCCAAACACCTGGTCAAAGATCTGAACCTGCACGCCTCCAAGAACAAGAAAATACTCGAAAACAGAGAAAAACAACATAAAATATGAAATAGATAAACGAAACAACACACATGAGACAAACGACTGGAGGACCGCAAATCCTATAAAAAAACTAAAACGGGGGTAAAAAATTAAGAAACTAACAAAGAAAAAGAAACAAAAATAGGACAAAACAACACACAAATTAAAAGCAGCTACTAGACATGGCCACGGGCCAACCCGACTCATCCGCTCGGCCCTAAACTAGTCCAGGCCCGGCCCGCAACCACCCAGATTTTGCCGGTTTATTGAACCGTAACCTTGGCCATGCGAGTAAGTTTCGGTTCTTAGTTTTTTTTCGGCAGTCCGGGCCGGGCCGCGGGTTAGAAGACGGGCGACGTTTGTATTTTTTGTTTTTTTATGGGCCGGGCCGGGCCCGAACAAGCCAAAAACTAGTGGTTCGGTGGCCCGGTGGTTCAGGGCCTGATTTAATGAATCGACCCATAGAAATGATCAGGCCAGTTACGGCCTATCAAATTGAGGACCGTCGACCCGGCGGGCCGGGTCACGACTCGTTGACTGGCCACGTCTAGCAGCTACACAAGACGAGACCTCAATTGTCAACAAATACACCAACTAACTAAACAACAAAATAAAACCAAAGAAAAGGCCTCAATCACTGACACAAGTCCTAGAAGAGTCCTCACCCATGTGCCTAACCATCAACTCCCTTGAGCAACTATGAAGTCTAACCAGTCTTTCATAGCATCCTTGACAATAAAGAGCTCTAGATTCCAAGCCTGCTAAAAAACCCACAAGTTTCTTGCCGTCCAAAGCCACCACACAATGTAGGTAGATAGTTGTATTCTATCCACTGATGATTCTTTGTTTTCTATTGAACTCAGCCACCACCACCCGTCTTTGAAGTTCATGTGCTAAGAAGGTATGCTCTCCCATTGGACAAGAGCCAACTTCCAGGTTGTAGTAGCTCTAGGGCATTTAAAGAACATGTGTTCCATTGTTTCATCAGCTTCCCGACAACCTTTACATTTAACATCAATTTGAATCCCTCTGTTGAGGATGTTAACTCCAATAGGCAAAATTCCAGAAAAACACTTCCAAATGAAGTGTTTGATCTAGCCTTTAACCCTTAGTTTCCAACATTTCATTCTTGCAGATTTGTTTGTCAAAGCATATCTGCTACATTCAGTCTCTGCCAAATAAGAACATTTTTTTGTGATCAAAGAAGACTATACTGCAGCTACAGAGAAATTCCCATCAGTATCAAAATTACATCTCCACTTATTATGCAAATTAGGATTTAAAGTTTTGATCTCCATGATTTTAGCGGCATCTTCAGGCATAAAAATCTCTGAGATTGGGTCAAAATTCCATCTTGTTCCACCCTCATAGGTCAAATCCTCAACCCAGACTGGTCTCTTTAACTTCAGGTCTTAATGCAAGTAGTGTTCCTTTGTACTCAGGAACCAATTATAATCAGTAATTTTGGTTTCCTTATCATCTCTTATCACAATTTCCACTCCAGTTCTGAACACTGGAATTAAAAAAAAAAAACCCAAGAGTTCAATAACCAAGAGGCATTACACTTCTTCTGGCAATCTAGCAATGAAAAGGAATGAAAATATCTATGTTTAAGAACTTTACTCACCAGAAGATCCGACTGAGTTAAAACTCTCCATAGTTTCTTGATAAGCAGGCCTCTGTTGAATAATTGGATATCTTGAAACCCCAAGCCCCCATCCTTTTTAGCCAATGTTAATTTCTTCCAAGCTCTCCAATGCAATCCTTGTTGTTGGTCATCCCCTTTACACCACCAGAAATTAGCAAAAAGCCTGCTCACATCCTTGCAAATGGTCACATGTAAAACAAAATTAAACATAACAAATACAGAAACAGAGTTGAGTACATACTTAACCAAAACATCTTTCCCTGCAGTGGAAATAAACTTATTGATCCAGCTTTAAATTATGCTTCTAACTGCCTCCAACACAAAGGAGAAAGCATCTCTCTTTGACCCCCCC